AGGTAATGTCTCTCTGTCTCAGGGAGAAATGACCTTAAAAAACACTATATTTTAGAAATGTTTTCTATCTTTATTAAGCAGAATAAAATTATTGTTTTATTTTAGTAGGGATTCAGAGTTATTATGATGAACATTAGTTAGTATGTTTTAAAACAGATGCATCTTCAGGACGATTGATGTCTATATGATGGTATATCCCTAGACCACATGCTCCAAAAATTACATGGGAACCACATGGCATTTTAATGGTGAAACAAAACCCATTATACAAAATATGGGCCTGGAGTCTTGTCTTGAAACCAGTATAATTGACATTATACATAAGTGCCTATTATGAGCCTAGTACTATGGATCAATATTATTCAGGTCAATGAAAATAAATGTAATCAACTGATTAAAGGGCTTATTTTATATCATTGATTGAGAAGAGCTTTCAACTTGTGATTTTAACAGCTTGATGAAAGCCACTCAGTAGAACCCTTCAATAAATTTCCAACGCCAATTCACTGCATTGAATAAATAACATCTCCACATCTGACTTCATTTTCTTCCAAATATTCCACATCCTGACAGAAATCAAGAGTGCCATGAAGAAGAAAATTTACAACCCAGATAATGTCCTCATTGCAAATGAACTTTGTATTTTACAAAATTAAATGCAAATTCCTCTAGAGAGTGGCACACAGGAAGCTGGGCCTGTTAAAGCTTCTTCTAATAATTCAAATGCTTGAATCATCTTTTCCTTTAGTTGCAAGTCTTTTGTTTGTAGCAAGCAAATCTGGCCTTTTCATATTTAGACTAAATTTGTCAAATCTTTTACTAGAAAGGTGGTTAGAACCTACTAGTTCATGTCAAATAGGTAATTGCTTTATTTTTGCTAAAAATCTCAGACAGGGCTATTGGAAGTCTCCTAGAATATCCTGTAGTCTGAGTTATTTGATTTATTTTGTAGTTTCATAAAAAATTGAATTTTAATCCCAAAAAGACTGCTCTGAGGAAATAGCTCAAGACATCACTTCAACAAGTTTTTAATACCAAGTCATCTAGTGGAATGGAACTAAATCTCTTCTGAGTCTCCATTCTTTGAGTTTTCATATATTGGCACCATTAATACGCCTGCCTATAAGAGACTGACTCCCTTTTAATTACTGCTCCAGATTTATTGTTGTGGGCTTGGGAACCAGAGAATTAAATTCATTACGAGGCTACATGAAGCAAGACAAATAGCCCAAGAGAGTACTCCTTTAATCCCGCCCCCCTTTTTTTAAAATTGCCAGAGGGCACATGCATTCACGAGAGAGAGAGAGAGAGAGAGAGAGAGAGAGCGAGAGAGAGAGGGCAAGAGAGCGAGAGTATCTTCCGTAGGAGACAGTCACATCACAATCCTTTATCCTCTATTTCTCCTTTTAGGATTTTGGGTATGCATGAGTATGTGCCTGGTATGGTTTTCAAACTGTTGCGCCTGAGACTCAGTCTGCATAGTCGGCCATGTGGGACTGACCTGCCTTACCGGGTTGGCCCAAGGAGGCTCTTTTAGAAGGAGCACATGAACTTGAGTGCACAAACTCTGTCACATCTATTCTGATTATCCAGAAGATGTAAAACTCCTCCCACGTATATTCTGATTATGGCTTATTTGGGTCAATGGCTCTCAAGCAAGGCTGGATGTAAGACTCATCGAGGATACTCTGATTTACGTGGCCTGGAATGGGACTTGACGTTTACAGTTTAGAAATGCTCTCCAAGTGATTCTAACTGCACATAACCGTTCATTTAGGTAAAACTTAAATAATCTGGTCTTTGATAGGCAAGTTATTATTTTATAGAGCTAATTGTTTTATAATTGAATCAAGGTTTATATGATCTATTTTAACTTTTTTTTTTCTCTTAAAATACCAACTTAATAAAGTTGCTTTCCTTATTGGTCTTTTAATTGGATTTTTTTAGCCTTACAAATTAATGACTCTTCAATGCAAAATGATTATTGTTATTATTTTTTCCTTTCTTTTTTTGAGAGGTGTTTGCCATAGGGCGCGTGCCCTCACCAGAAAGACAGAGAGAGAGCAAGCAAGAAATCACCCCCCGGGGGGATGGCCATGAACAATTCCTTCTCCTCCATTCTCCTCTCAGTATCCTGGGTATGCACGCACATGCACCCGATGTGAGTTTAAGCCACCAGGTCTAAGACTCAAACTGCGGTTGACTACATGGGAATCCAGTGACATAGCCGTCATGCTAACTGCTGGTCCCAATGGAAAATGATTATTCACTTGTCATTTTAGGCTTATTTTCCTTATCCTGTATTTGTCAATAAATTGAGTCCATATATACTAGCATCTTCTTATCTTAGGCATGATGAATGATATTTTTATTGTATCTTGGTCATTTTGAGTATTGTGTTATCAGACTATGGCTATTATTTAAATGTTCTATTTTAGCAGGCCTCCCCTAGAAATGGCCAGGTTCCCTACCTGACTTCCATTGATAGCACCCTAGTGGGGAGGACAAGAGGACCCTTGTAACCTATGTTCTTCACTTAAGTCTCCACTGACAGACAGAGAGGGGAAGGGGCACCTCCTTATGCCTGAGTGGAGGGGCAGAGTCCAGGCTCCTCTTTGACCCCTGCTGACATTATCCCAGCAGGGGTGGGTGGTGAGGGGGCTCCCCTTTACTGTCAGGCAAGAGTGTCTATGTTTTTCACTAGACCTTTGTTGTTGGGCTTTGGAGATGTATCTATTTCCCCCCTGGTGGTTTTCTGAAGAAAGGATGTTTACTGTCAAAAAGATTTCTGTTTAGCTATGCTATCCCTTTCCTGGACTGGCAGCGACAGCAGACTGTACTTCACAGCTGTTCCTGGGCTGTGGGCTTCTCTAGCATTTAGTCTGGGATGTATTGGACACAAGAAGAAACCAAGGGGGCTTATTGCCACGTCGCTTGCTGAGTCCTGAGGTCGCTGGTCCATCTTCTCTCCAGCTTTCAGAATCTTATGTTTGTTTTAGAGTTCTAAATTTAATGTCCAGGGTTTCTAGCTAAATTTAGCGAGACAAACAGGGAGACATGCACTTACTTCATTTTGTTCAGAACTGGAAGTCCAAACTCCCTATTCTACATTAGGCATGCAAATGAACTAAAAAGGTTTTCTCCTTAGGGAATCTCTCACTCTTTCTTTCTTCCCCGCCCCCCCTCCCAATCTCTCTCAGTTCCACATGCATGTGCTCTATCATGAATAAAGAAAAAATTTTAAACACTGATAATTCTCCAATGTCAATGTCAAGCTAAGTCCTTCTCTGGAGCTCTAGATGCATATTTCTACTTGTCCAGGAACAGCACAAACAGAGGTCCCAGGGTCCACATATTTGCCTGGGACAAAAGGAAACTTCTACCATACCCAGTTACTCTTCCTTCTCAGGGCCCTGTTTCAGTTACATGTGCATAGTCACACTGTCTCAGGGGCCTGTAAGAGGAGTGCTCCGCCAACTACCCAAGGCAGCACAGAACAGTGAAAGAGCACAGAGCACAGGCCCTGGAGGCAGAGCTGGGCTCCAGTCCTGGCGCTGCCTCTGACCAACTTCACGTCCTTGGTTATACCCTCTCGCTGCTTCATGCCTCAGCTTCTTCACTTTGAAGGGGAATTAATAATATTACCCACCTCATAGGGAGAATGAAAAAATTATCTAAATTAATACATGCAGAACATCAAACTGGTGCCTGTCATATAGAAAATATTCAAAAAATGTTAATTTTAATTAAAAATAACTCAGAAACCTCTTATGTCTTGCCTCTTTTTTCCATTTGTGGTGTCACTGTGTCTGTTGAGATTATTCTAACAGTTCCTGAAATGGTATTTATTTCTCCAGCCTCTTCCTACTTCATTACATACTTTGTAATGCTGTCAGAATTAGCTTCCTAAGAAACAAAACCTCATCACACCACTTAAAATCTGCTGCTCTACACTGCCCAAAACAATGCCCTTTAAGAATGTGAAAAATGGGGACCAGCAGTTGGCATAATAGCTATGTCGCTGGACTCCCATGTAGTCGACCACGGTTCAAGTCCCAGACCCAGTGGCTTACACTCACATGCATGTGTGTGTGTGTGTCCAAGATCCAGAGAGGAGAATGGAGGAGAAGGGGATTTCTTGCTTTCTGTCTCTCTGGCAAGTGCATGCACCCTATATCAAAAAACTGTAGGCGTGAAAGGCCACACCACCAAAAAAAAAAAAAAAAAAAAAAAAAAAAAAAAAAAAAGAATGTGAAAAATATGAGGCCGGCAGGTGGTTAAGCCGTTGGACTCCCACACTGCTGGCAGTGGTTTGAGTCCTGGACCCGACAGCTTGAAAGTCACGTTGGGCACATGTGCATGTGTGCCCAAAATCCCGAGAGGATAATGGAGGAGAAGGGATTGCTGTGTGGCCATCCCCCCAGGGGGATATGAGCAAGGGATTTCTCATTTTTTCTCATTTTTCCTTTCTCAGTCTTGCCCAGCATGCAGTATGGCAAAGACCTTGGGGGAAAAAAGAATGTGAAAAATGCTCCAAGTGCCCAGTGCAGAGAAATACACAAGCATTCGAGTATTTCTGAACCCCTAAAACCTTTGTCCTGAAAAAAACATTTCCACCTCTCTTCTGTGTTCTTTCATAGCAATTCATGCTTACCTTTGTTTTAGCATTTAATATGTTATACTGTGGTAATTTCTTTTTTTTTTTTAAAGATTTATTTACTTATTTATTATTATTTTTTTTCACATGAGTTTTGCCAGAGAGAGAGAGAGAGAGAGAGAGAGAAAGCCACCAGGTCTGGGACTTGAATTGTGGTCAGCCATGTGGGAATTCTAGTGCCTTAACCACCACACCACCTGCTGGCCCCACTGTGGTGATTTCTGTATCCACCTCACCCGCTAAATAATAAGTAGAGCCTGTGTCTTTCTCATCTTTATGTCCCTAGTTTCTGATAGGTAGTAGATAGCCAAAATTTATTGAATATGTAGAAGACAAAGACAGTGTGCTTGCTTTGGAAGTACATATACTAAAACTGGGAAGATACAGAGCAGATACAGGCATGCCCCTGCTTGACGATAACACGAAATTCATGAAGTGTTCCATATTAAAAAAAGAAGACAACGTGAATAAAATGTACAGATGAGTTCAAAGGATTCTCTTTACTCAGAAAACTGATAGTTTCCTTGTGTTTCTCTATCAAAGACAAACCCTTCGCCATAGCCATAAAAGCTCTTTTCCTAAAGTTTCCCCTTTTACTCCTTTTTCCCTCTCCCCCATGCTCTCATCCACTGTCATGGTTGTAGCTACCACATGTTAATGGCTTCCGATCTGTGTCTCTGCTATGAACCGACCGACTGGGACCTCCCCAAATTCACACACTGAAACTCCAATGTGATGGCCTTTCCAGATCGGGCATATGAGGGTTAATTAGATCAAAAGATGGGGTCCTGGTCAGATTTGTGCCCTTAGAAGCAGAGACGGGGAAAGCTTTCTTTCTTTCTCTGTCTCCACCCTGTGAAGTGTACAGAGAGAGAAGACAAGCTGTCTGCGAACAAGGAGGAGGGCCCTCACCAGAACCCAGTCATGCTGGCGCCCTATCTTGGACTTTCCAGCCTCCAAAACTGAGGAATAAAGTTCTGTGGCTTATGTCACTCAGTCTATGGTATCTTACAGCAGCTCAAACTCAGTCTCTGTCCTAGAGTGTTCTCTAGACTATCCACTGCCTGTGGGCTTCTCCAGATTATATTCCTCAGACACCTCAAATAAAACCATTTAATACTGAACTTGTTTCCAAACTCTCCTCCCACATCCCTGCCTCTTTTCCTACAGTTCCCATCTTGGTGAATATCCAGCACCACCATCTAACCAGCTGACCAAAAGAGAAATGTGTGTGTCTAGACTTTCCTCAATGCCCAAGGCCTATTGTTTTCACCACTTAAATAGCTCTTGAATCCAAAACCTTTTACCCTTTTTACTCTGCTTGCTTAAGTTCAGGCCTTTATCATTTAACAGGTTACAACAGCAGTTTCTTCTACTTTTTTTTTTTTTAAAGAATTGTTTATTTAATTTTATTTATTATTATTATTTTTTAAATTTTCTATAAGGATACAGAGAGAAGGGGCCAGCAGGTGGCATGGTGGTTAAGGACGATGGACTCTACCATGGCCGACTGTGGTTCAAGCCCTGAACCT